GTTTCCGCCACTGCAGTGAACCTGATTTTGCTACCAGTTTCCTTTTTGCATGGACTGTAAACGTTGGCGTAGTATAAAATGTTCAGTTGCAAAGTGCACACAACGCGCTCGGTTTTGCGGCGCAGAATTTGAAATGTCGAAAGTCGAATCCATCTCGTCTTCGAACTGGTCGTAATACTGCGCATCTTGCAGAGCAGCGTTCCCATCACTTCTGGAGAAAATTATGCACGAGTTCGATCTCTAGCGTCACCAGTAGATTTTCTTCGACTTGGCCTGCAGTTCCTACTTGTTCACTTCATTTGGCTCACTCAAATGATTCTGAAAAACTGCTCGGTCGTGGTGAGACCCATTCTCTCCATGTCCCTTACCCTGGAGTGCGCTTACCAATCAACTGTGTTTTTGGAGGTTAACCGAGTTTTTCCTGTGTGATCGAAGGCCAACGTGGCTGTCGCAAGTGATAAGACATCGAAGGCCACCATGGCTACGAGCGTCACACGACAATTTACGGACTCATTCTTGGGTTCAAAGTGAGGAATGAAGTAGTTTCTAAGATCCGAAATAGGTTAGCGCAGAGAAGGTACAGTATTTGGTGCCGCGTCGTGGTTGCACAGCTCTCTTGGTCTCCAACAGAATGGTGTTTTGCTGCATAATAGTCGAATGAGGCATGAGAGCAATCATGCTCACTAAGTGGTCTTGCTTCTGCGAAAAGTGGTGGTTACCGACAGCAGTGGCCTCTTAGGCCGCGTTCATAGTTCGCGACTCCGGAGATTAGGATAGTACGCGACAATGAAAAACATATGTATTGACGGGGAGATTAGGATAGTAGTAGATTAGGATATCTAGTACCCTCTGGCGATTTCAGTCAACATATCTAATCTTGTCAGCGCGCCTCCCCTACTATCCTAATTTCCAGGGTCGCGAACTATGAACTCGGCCTTAAAGTTCACAAATCTTCTTATTAAATGGTTCCTGTATATAGGCGAACTGGGAAAAACTATCAGTTGGTAGCGCACCGACCTTTCCTGGAGTTGAGGGGTTAAGCAGGATCAGATGCAGTCCTTGCGTAGGGCTTGAGCTCGGCAAAAACTTGGGCAGAAGAATGCGTTTGCCGTGGTCCCATCTCTGACGGAGAGTAACCCTAGTAATTACCTTCTACATTGTGACGCTGTGACTGGGTTGTGTTTCAAGGAAACCAGGACGAGCACCAGTGATGTTTCTAATGCAATTTTGAAGCGAAGTATCCTCGAACGTCGATGAATTCATGTGCAGTTTGCAGACGCTTTTGGACAAGGCAGCGGCTTTTTGAAAATGAGGGTTATAATGAGAGAAAGTGAGGGTACGGTTTCGTTCCGTTTATGATTCAATGAACGACCACTCTGCTGAATGACTTTCATAGAGGCTGGATCTGAACGTGTTCTTAAGTAGCATTTTTTAAGTGCATTCCGAATGAGATAATTCCCTTCCTATATGGGAATAACTTGCATCTCATTTCTGATAATAGCGATCGATGCGTTTGTTAGCGTTTTGCTGTCTCAGTCAAATGTCCTTGACTGGCACAACAATCGAAAGGCATTAGTGTTCCCGTCATTTGTAACACCGCTTTTCGAGAGTTTTGCTCGCTGTATTGTTCTTTTCTGGCTTACTGTAAAACCACTTTTTTGTCCCAATTTATTTCGTCGTGGCTCCTTTATGATGTTGTGGCATGCTTACTACCATTTTTTTCTTCACTTAGGATCGCACAGCATCTCACACCGGATGAGCAACCTGCAGTAGGCCGTATTGGCGAGGTGATCCCGGTGGTGACGGGGGACGTGTGTGGGTTCAGCCAGGTTATTGCTTGTTGATTATAGTTTAGCGACCCTTACTGTCACAACGAGAAGAGCGTCGTGTGCAAACACCACAAGACAACATCTCCTCCTTTGGTAAGCTGTAATTGTAATTTTAGTGAAAACTGATAGAGTACAATTGCAATAGGCTAATCATTTCACTGGAAGAACTTCAAATGATTGGAAGCCAGTCGTCAACTTGTGGCTGTGGTGGCTCTGCCATGCCGACGCTCTCTCGTTTTTTGTTTCTGAACGGGAGGGTAGATTCTTGAGTGTTCACCCTTGGTAAGTCTGAAAAAACTCACCTGTATTTCCAATCAAATTTCAATCAACTCTTTGCAGGACAAGGAATCTGACCAATGCGTGATCAAAGGCGAAATCAAAGGTCTGACTCCCGGTCTTCATGGATTCCATGTCCATCAGTACGGCGACTCCACTAATGGTTGTACTTCTGCTGGGCCACATTTTAATCCTTTCAACAAAACTCATGGAGGACCTAAGGTACGAATTTGTTGGTTAGAAGTTCAGCTGTCTTCACTTAGTAGTGACCGCAAAAAAAACGAACACAACGAGAGTTTTTCGTTCGCCACAAGTATGTCTGAATCAGATTGGTTCCATATCGATCGCTTTTGTGCGTGGTACTATTTATCTGGGGATTATCTATGAGTAACAATCGGACATAAGTTAAGCAGATTATTTGGACAAAATGTCTGTTGCACTTCCTAGAGTCAGTCAGTCGCACCGTGTGCTGCATGAAACTAGTTTTTGCTTCCTATGTGCTGTACACTGAACAGTACTTGGGTTGTAAAAATCAGTTGTTGCATTGATATAGTTGTAGCTCTCTCGAGCTGGATTTTTTCTTGATACCAGGAATGGGTAAAGCTGGCGGAAGTGTTGTGCAGTAGCTGTCAAAAGTGTTTGCTGAAGAGGTTTTTCGTGCATTTTCTTTTCCTACACTTTTACGCGTATTTCAGAGCATTTTATCCGATATTTATATATGCGATACCTTTGTTTTTTTTTTCGTATGCCATTAGGATTCTAAAGATCACGTTTCTGAATGAACTTTGGGTTTTTTCCAAAGAGGAAAAAGTAGTGAAAAAGACCTCTCAGCGAACTCTTTTGACCGCCACTGTTCATTGGTTTGACACAGGCGTCTGGCACAAAGATTTTGCGCCGTGCAAATGAATGTGACATCTGAGTTCTCCGGATTAAAACGCCACCGGAGGCAAATTCGCTAAAACCGGTCAGATTTAATCCGGAAATTCTGAAAAATGGCTTACTATTTAATGAATGGCGTTTTTCTTAGGAACAATATTTGTGCCACACTTCAGTACACAATGTGCCGCTACTAATGTGGTCCATTGCTTTATCGTGTCTCAGAATTCTGTGTTCCAGGACGAAGTTCGTCATGTTGGCGATCTGGGAAACCTTGAAGCTGGTTCGGATGGTGTGGCACACTTTGAGATCAAAGACCATTTGGTGAAAATCCATGGAGAAAACACCGTTGTCGGACGTTCCCTTGTTGTTCATGCTGGGGTTGATGATCTTGGTGAGAATTGCATATTTTTTCTTTGAGTTAGTACCACTATGAATGTGATTTATGGAAGAAGTAAAAACGAGTCCAGGCTACATTAGTAAGACTATTAGATTCTTTCGTGAAAAATACTGCTTTACGTTTGCGGAATTTTGGATAGGTGTCAGAGTTCGCGACATTTGCAGGAGGGTTGGGGTGTGATTCTGGCGCTCCATCGGAATCGCGAGTGCAGTGCACGCCATACGGATGTATGATGGTACGCCTCACTAGTGATTCTGACTTTGTGCCAGGGTCACGACCCGCTCCACTCGGGACTGTGATTCTTAGTTGATATTGCGAAGTCTAACACTTATCTCCTGGTTCATTGAGGATTCCGTCTGGTTTAGGCAAAGGAGTGGGCGAAAACAAAGAGGAATCTATGAAGACAGGAAATGCTGGCGCCCGCGTCGCTTGCGGAGTCATTGCTACAGCCGCACCCCAGTGACTTCATGAACAACTCGCCCGTTTATGAGATAATTCCATGAGTTTCCATTACCTAGATAGTCAACTTGTTCCCTTGTTTCATTACCTAGATAGTTAACTTGTTATTTTATTTGCTTGCTACCTTTTTATGTACGTGTTCGATATATCGGTTTTATTAACTCACCATGTAAGTCGTTTAATAAATCGAGTGCATCTATTTGTCCGATTTTTATCTTCTACTGTTACCATTATGAGTGTGGTGAAAACAGCGACTGTGTTCTTGAGAAGCATACATGAATTTTGTTGTTTGAGCTACATGTAGGAGCCGTTTTGGAGAAGGAGTGCAGCCTGGTCGAAATGGCGTTTGATGACTGGCAGTCTTTGGTGCTAACTTAGTTGGGGGGGCACGCGGCGGCGCGGCAGTCTGCTCACCTGGGCTCTCTCGAGCGAGACAGTGTAAACTCGAACATTCCAGCTTTTCACGCATGTCAAGTGACTGCCCCACCCCCCACCCCCTAGACTGCTACACTCCCCCTGGCCCACGGATTTCCGAACATGCCAGGCGAGCAGACTGCCGCGCCGCCGCGTGCCCCCCCCAACTAAGTTAGCACCGAGTCTTCTTCCTCAAAAACATGAATGAAC